AATTTATTTTTGTTCCTACCAGGTGATCCAAATTTTTGGTGCAAAAGATCAAGATGTACCAAATGCTGGACAACAGTTCTCCTTTAGAACACCAAAGGAAGATGTAAAGAACAAGAATTTCACAATACGAGACTTTGGAAGTAAGTGTTTATGTAGTCATGTGCACACACAGACACCCACACACCCACACTCACATTGTAAATAAAACACTTTAAAAGCCACATTTAAACAGCTGATCAGAATCAAAACTAATCTCATTAGCTGATACATTATAACAATAGAAAAAGTAAAAATAAATAAATGAATAAAATTGCTAAAACAGCTATTTTATAATGAAATGGATTCTACTGCACAAAATTACCAATTCCTCTTTTTAATCTCTGACACTGAGCAGGTTTCAATTTTATTTGCTCCCCTAATTTTAAACTTTTTGAATATATATTTTACAGCTAGAAGAACAGTTCCCAGTTGGAACATGACACATAGCTTCTGATTGCTTACTGGATAGTAAAAAAAAAAGAAGGGGAGGCCTAACTAATGGTGCTTCATTTATGAAAGAGGGAAGTGTTTCTTCTCACAATTGCACAATTGCTGGAAAGTCACTAAAATGGACCAAGGTTCCAAAAATCTTGAACACGAGTGGTCCAAGAACCAAACATATCTTGGTCCATACATAGCATCCAAATTTATTCTTAAAGGGATCCATGATTATTTGTAACATTAGGTTTTAAATGATAAACATATACTTTAACTGTAAAATAAAGACAGCAAAAATACTGTAGGATGTTTAATTTTTATAATTTTTAAACTAAAAGTTTAAAAATATATTACACGGACGGGGCCATTTTATTTACACGAAAAGCATTCTGGGTAAATGATTACACCAACTACGTCATCGGCACGAGGCTGCTGGTGAGCTGTATCCACCCTGAAGATTAATCTTGGACAATATCTGACGATTGACTTTTAAAATGAAACCAGAGAGCGTTGACAGAGAGGAGAAG